ATTAGAATATTATTATTAGAATATAATATTATTATTATATTATCTATCTATTTTATTCGAGTCCGCCGCGAATTTTGTGAAAAAATACAACAGCCCGTTTGTCCGSGGCGGACTAGTATAGTCCGTCGCGGTAGACCGCCGTCTGTTTAACCAGCATGATGCATTTAAATAGAGCACACGGTCCGCGGCGGACCGGCGGCCTGGCCGCGCGGACAGTCCGCTTTCTGTTTGACCGGACCTTTATTATCCCGGGGTTTATGGATCAAAAACTTATCCAAATTACAGGGCCGGCGTTWAAGAGTAGCAAAACGTGGCATTTGTCTAGGGACGCGCTTAAAATGTACGATGAAAAATATTTTATATGGAAATCGTAAGGCTATAGGTTACTATGGTTATTGGTAGAATAAGTTATGTCTAGGSTCTTGTAAAAGGTAGCGCAGCTCTATCAAATTAAACGGCAAGATCATTGGTTGAGACAACTGATCAAAATCAATAAAATCAGAAATACAATATATGCATGGCCAAATTCAACTCATACAAGGATAACTCACAAGTTCCTAATGGCTAAAGAGGAACCATCTCAGTGCTCAACATATCGCAACACATCAACACATCAACTATATAGAAGACGTAAAAACTCAACATCCTATCCAACCTAAACGCTGTTTTAGGTTCGAACAAAGAAGATACCAAAAATATTATCAATTTCTTAGAAAAAAAACCCGAACTGACAACCAAGTTTATGACAATTGAACTGTAAATATTTTTATTTTTAAATGTTTTTTTGTGCTTTTTTAAATGTCATTAACCTTTATGTGACTGAGACAAAAAACACCTTTTAATGACGGTCTAGGTACCCGGGTACTTATAATATTATTATCTGTGTTTTTACGATAAATTATTTCGTTGTYGTGAGCTTATCGATATTATATTATTGTACAATATATTGTTTGAATTTAATTGTTTTATGATATACCATTTTTATCAAACACTTTATAATAATGGTTTTTATAMGATCGTCATTTTAGTATATCGATGTATATTGACGTGCACACATCACAACTTTTAATTTAATTTTTACTCAAACTCGTGTCTACAACACAAGTATTTGTGTTTTTTTATAATTTATTAGTGAATTTTACGAAATAATATGACTGATTGTCAGGATAATAACCAACGTCGTTCAGCAAGACTACGGAGATCTAGGTAAGTYATAACAATATTTAGAAACATTCTCAAACATGTAATGTACAAATATACATTTTAGAAACTTTAAAATATTATATGATATAATTATTTTATATTATTTTATACCTAATTCWGTTTTATTGTTTTGTTTGAAATGTAAATAAATTCCTATAATTAGTTTGACAGAAATACATTGGGTAATATAAAATAAATACATAATATATATTGATATGAGTAATTATAATTCTAAAATATCATAATATACACAGTATAACAATGCTATATAATGTAATATTATGCACAATATACGTTTTATATTATTTTAAGATTACCATCTGATGAAATAAGAGAAGTATTGTCGGAATCTGAAATTTATCACGCATCTGATGAAGACGAATATTGTCCCGAACCAGCAGCTATTGAAAATAAAGAATCAGATGCAGATATAGAGCATGTTATCAATCACGACGAAGAATTAGATTCAGATGAGAGCAACGAAGATGAATTTTTAGATATTATGTCCATGTTTGGTAAAGATGGTACTCMATGGTATTATACACCATTTCCTCAATCTCAAACAAGTTCTCGTAATATTTTGCGCCGAAAACCTGGACCATCAAGTTCCACTGCATTATATACAGCAAAAGAGATATTCAAATCTATCATGACAAAATAAATGTGTGACATAATCTTGAGAGAAACCAAAAGAAAAGGACAACAAGTTACAGAAGATTACAACAAAAAACTAACRGACGAATTTCCAGGAACTAATCGACCACCAACAAAAACATTCAAACCATTTACTGAAGAAGAATTTGATGCATTCTTAGGAATCCTTCTTGTATCTGGTGTACATCGATCTAATAAAGAATACTTATCAGAAATGTGGAAATTCGACTCGTTACTTATTCGTAAAAAAAAAATTAACTCATAGCTATTTTCACCGATGTAAATTAAGAACAATAAAAAAAACAAAATATATTTTAAACAATTTTTAAATAATCAAGAACAAACAAGTATTATTTTAAGTATCACAATCCTCAGTTCTAACTAAAACCAAATGAAATTTTAAGATCGCTGAGCGACTAAATTATTAACAGCTCTGAACTTGAAATAAAATTACTTGGATTTACACAGAAAACCGACGAAAACATTAATTATGAAATACTGAAATACTGAAATATTRGTACTTATAATTAAAATGCACACCCTCRATTTAAATGTTTAAATATGTATTGACGTATTCAAAACAATTTTATTTCACTGAATATATATTTAATAGTATTAAAGTGAAGTACTAATTACATTAAAAAGTTATGAAAACAAATTATTAATATACCAAAAGAAAAAGGAGTATATTATTGCTTATTTATTCTATAGATAGAGAATTCTTGATATCACGTCAATAATTATGAGATATGATGAAAATCATTTTCATGACATTCATAATTGATTTTATAATAAAAAAATTATCTTTAGCTTTTTGGAACTTTGACATAATTATTTTATTATTAATGATGCCATGTCGTATAAAATGATTTTAACTATTAT